AAGCTACATGAATTTGTATTCTAATAAGATAGCACGAACAAATTTCTTACAAGCAAAGTCTTTATAGTTATAATGTATATGCAAATGTAGATTGAAAATTAACAGTGTACTCAGTACAGTAAATAAACAAAAAAGGAAAGTAGTTCATTCTCACCCTCAATTTAACGTTCAGTCATTAAACATTTTTAAGAAATTTGTCCATGAACACTAAGCACGAGATTACAATTGACTCTTGTGAAACGTAAACATCATTTTTTACAAAGGTGCTTCAAAAACGTATGTCTGCCATGAGGCTGATGTAAAATATTTAGCCAGTGCGACTGCGCCATTTGAAGTTTTAAGGACCTTGTTTTCGTTGTCAAAAGCCCGTTAGGACAAATTTTACTGATTCCAATACTTGTTACGAACATAACACATTCAGAATATCTGAAGCTTCAGCTTGTGACTCGGAATCTTAGCTAGTGACCCAATGACCTGAAGCTTGAAGACGTTGTTCTTGCGGAAACCTGAGGAGCATGTGTGCTTTTTCTATTCACTCTCTCCTATTTCTTGTTCTCCGTGGAATGTACTCCAATACAGACACTGTGGCTTATTTGGGTTCAGTCACACTCAACTTACCGAAAAGGAGTTGATGAATCGTCATTGGCTGGTTAGGTGACCAGATATTAGGTGTCCAGGTATTAGCTGACCAGATATTAGCTGACCAGACAGCAGGACATGTTGATCAAGTGACTTATAAAGAACAAGCTCAGTCCAAACCTCCCGCAGGACGACGGGGGATTGGGAGCGGGCAGGGTTTGAACCCGATACCATCGATAAGTCTGATCGACAGTCCAGCGCGCAAACCGCACGACCAGGCAGCAATCCTTACTTTACTTTGTTCATTATAGAGCGGCCAAACCTTTAGAAACGATTGCTTCACATTTGAATGAAAATTGTTATTATGGTAAACTATAAGATAGATTAAAGCAGGCCTACCTTAATCGGCTTGGAAGTGATCTATCTATTAAGTATTTCAATGTTGAAGAAGTAACTTAATGGAGACTTTGAAGTTAAACACAAAAGCCTGACAGTAATCGACTTTATTTTTAATGAAAGCGGAACATTCGCTGCCCTGACATTTTATGAAAAGCTTGACATACGGTTCAAAGCGGAACTATCACATCTATTTCAGGATCACCTGTCTGGCCACCTGTCTGGTCAACTTAGCTTGTAACTCCAAACAGCTAGTACAAATAAATAATATTTGAATAATTAGAACAAATTTCTTTTGTGAACAAAACCTCAATAGAACTTTTTAACTTGAAATGGGATGTAGATCTAAAAGTAATGAAATAAAATGATATTTCAATAAAATCTAACTCACAAGAAAAACACGTCTTAACTATTTCATGTATCTAGATCGTATGCCGTACCATAAATGATGATACAGACACACCATGTCGTGAATATCATCCTTTTTCAAGACCAAAAATGTCATCGCCTTGGAAACCCACACTCCATAACAAGGGGGCCTAACGTCGTATTTCTGAACCCGGGTCCACAGGTACGTTGCTACGCAAATTCAACTACCTAGATATTTTTTTTTATATCTCCTTCTTTCTTTTCCCTCAATAAATGTAAATATTATGAACTAGCCTGACATGACCCGCTGCCTACGGGTCTTAGTTTTGGTACTACTGGTCTACTGGTTTGAATTAACATCTGTCAAACATGGAGAAGCTTCCCTTCACATTTTTTAAGAGTGCGAAAATGGTTTTACCCGTTCACCCGACATATTTATATCCAATAGAAATGAATGTGAAAACGGGTTTTCCCGATTTGTTCAAAAGTTTCGTTGTTTTTTTTTATTAAACAGAGGTACAATTAGATTATTTTTGTCTAGTTTTAAGGCCCTCCGATAGAGGTAAGGACATTAAACACACACTACGATCTCCGCCATGATCGAAGGAAAATTATGCCACGTTTTATCAAGATTGGTCAAACGGTTTTGATTTCTATGCGGGACATACATACATAAGCTACATACACCTTACTTTCTGCTTTATATATTGGATGACACGTACTTTATTTATGTTAATTACGGTCTTCCATTCGCTATCCTTTATAGACTCTTCTAACATATTTGGACTGTAAATCTAGATCCAGTAGTATTTTAAACATTTGTCCTAAAGTATGAAACAAATTAGCATGTTTCATTCAAACTTACGATTTTTCAACAGTCTTTAAAATAAAAAGAAAGTCGGGACAAAAGTTACTCTCACAAATAATCAAGTCATTATTTACAATTGAAAGCATTTTGAAAAACAAATATATCTCATTTTAAAATAAAAATCTTGTGTAACATTAAACATTTAAATATGCAACGTTGGCAGCTTATTCTTATGGTAACGTATGTGTTTTATGCCATTAAGGCCAAGTTCCCCACCTCAATAACCCTAAACAAAATATGTATAATGGCTTTTTCAGACATTCAGTTAAACTCTATTTACTTAACCAGGAATTCATCATTTGTTGAAGCCAGTCTAAATAATCCACCGAAAGGTGGTAGTAAAAAAAAGATATAGCAGGAGTACCGGAAAATGAGTACAGTTGGCAATCCTGAAACATTTTCAAGTGAAGGAAAAACAAATAATCTAAGCTAGTTTATGCTTTCTCTCAGAAACAAAAAGAAAAGGAAACCAAATAAATTTTATAAATACGATTCCACATTCAACGCAGGTCTGTAGAGTGTGCCAGGTAGAAGTGGGTATTGTTGTCTCACTCAAGCTGCAAAGGGAGGAAATAATTATATAGAGTTGAGAGCAAATAGGTTGTGCCAGATTTCGCCAGCTGGTAGAGACCAAAAACATTTCGCTCGCATCAACCCTTCTCATATCTCATTCCGAGCCGCTCCACAAGGTTGCGATAAATCGCAGACCTAAGCGTACAGTGCTGACTTAATGGGAGTGCCACTTGCCAGGTATTGATGCACATTAGTCAGAATCAATGATAACGCAAATAAAGTTTTCTGCGTCCTTTAAAGTGCGAAGGAGGCTTCACTTCTTTATGCTCACCTAAAAGACAGTGGAGCCCAGTACGAGTTCATATTTCAAGCAAGTTGGGAAAAACAAAAACTAACGCGACACTAGCACGTGATGCTGGGAGGAGCGTGCTTTAATTAGACTCAATTAATGAGCGCAAAGGTGACGATATGTTACATTCCATATGCTTTATACCATATCGGCTGAAATTAAAAAACACATCAATCAGTGACGTTTCCGCTGCACCTTTCATATCTTCACATAAGCGGTTTTCACTAAAACGCGATCAATTTTTCTTTGTACTTCTAAATATCTTTGTTTAACAAGTCTTCCTTCAAAATTGCTTTAGAAAAAAAAGTGCCTAAAGTCATTTTTAGCTCCACGCAGGGAATTGTATAACTTCCTTGACACCATTCTTAAGGTCAAGTAACTGTTATGTCACAGGAAGTCTAATCCGGTCTTTTCAAGGTCACGTCCTCACGAATCAATAGATTTTGTCTCTGCTCGATATTTAGACTATATCTTGTTTATATAAGGGGCGGGCATGGTTTATTGTTTTGGCTCGTCTCTCTGGTTCAAGTCCCTGTTCAAAACTCATAAGTCCGAGATTCCTAGGGAGACCCTGAGACTACCCAACTCCTATGGGTACATGACACTCACTAGTTTTCTGGCCACATGGCATTCTTGTTAACCGTGGGCATCAGACAAATATGACCTTTACATCCTCCGCTCCATAGATCGTTAGGTTTCAAAGGGTACTTCATTTTTTTAATTGTGTTAATATAGCGAAACTTTAATGAGAATGTGATGAGAATGAATATAAAATTGATGTCATGTATCAGTTACATAAAGATTTTCAACAAAAAAATTCTCACATAATATTTTTTTTTTACACAAATTATAATTTTGCATTCTCGAAGTAAATAAAAAGTCAATTGATGACGTATAAATACCACGTGATCTGTTCTATGACAGCGCTGTTAAAGTGAAAGATCTGAAGTAAAGACACAAGCAGGAGAAGACAAGGGGAAAGGGGCAGAGAGTTGTGACATAATCAGCAACGGTAACCCGCGCAACCCTCTTGTTTGAACCACGTTTATAGTAAGAGCCATTTCTCGCGAGCACAGAACAAAAGGTAAAAAATATATATTGTTTAAAAAAAAAAAGAAAATCTCGTTGACATGTTTGTAAAATGACACAGAACAAAAAAAGAAATAAAAAAAAACAAGGTGACAAAGACAGTGTGGAAACACAAACAGAAAATCGGCCCCCGAAGTGGTCCACCTTAGCAGGTAAAAAGGCCGGTTTCAATATTATCAGAATGCAATTCTATCAAAGACAAATGACAAAAAATAATGGAGAAAAAAAAAAAAAGGTTGAATCCAGCAACAAGTAAGGCCTACACAATATTCAGAGTACGCTTATGGCTCACGGGCCCGCGGAGGACACTCGGCCTGTGCCCCGCGTACTGCTAAGCCCGCCCTGCAGGCATAGACTTTCTGCTGTGACTATTTCATTTCAAACCAAGGACAGCCTCCTGGTCACTAGATTAGACCTTCAACACAACTTGTGGACACAACCTTTATGAGCAGCACTTTAATTCTGATTGAAAAAAACATAGTACTATACGTTAAATAAATAGAAAAAAAAAACAACCCACAAAGCTTCCAGTTAGATCAAAGTAAACGATCAAACTAAAGAGAAACAAGTTTTGCCCCTCGTCATTATTTCAGACATGACTCTGCAATTTTGAAGCTCTTTTACGTTTGGGGATTTTTTTTTAAAATCCCATTTTCGTTGCAACCTAATGGCAAAAGGCGCGAAACTTGAAAATGTGTTTTTTTGCTATAATAACAATTAGATATTTTTCAACATAGGTCTAATAGAATAAAAACATTTGATAAAGTGAATTCGAAAAATATTACATTTCACAATGATATACACTACAGAAACAAATCACACAAAATATTCGTTTTACTGGATTAAACAATTTTTATTTTTTAAAAAGGTTCTTAAAAAAATACTTAGATTATTTAAACAAACAAACAAAAAATAATAATTCTTAAGACATTACAAAAAATATTTGGTGCAGGAAACAACAAAAGTACATGTAAACTTTTCTTTGAGTCATGTGACAATATTTTGTTTTTCCAAAACTATTAGCATATAAAGAGTTTTGCGGAACATATTTAATAAGTATTGACTGAAACTTTATACAACTCAAGGCAACAGTTGAACACCTTTAGTAATCTGTAAGCAAACTTAAATGAGCGAACTCACTGTCTGGTCTTGTTCTAACTAATCAAGGCACTGTTTCTGTGAAGTGAAGATGTAGGACTCGCGCAATACTGCACTCACGTCTGACATATCTCTACCTGAAATAGGGCGGTTTGTTGACAGGGGCGTGGTAGGGGGCAAGAGCTAAGTTCGAATGTTCGTATTCGAGTGAGTTCGCGTGTGTGTATAAGTGGTTGTTTGATCAGGAGAAAATATTTGTCCTTTGACTCAGACTTGAGTCCCGGCCCCCATGACAGTTAACTTTAGCTCATAGAAAACATATAAGTTAATAACATAAGCAGTGGCGTAGCAAGGTATCAGTGGGCCCGGGTTCAAGAATATAATATGTTAGTGCCCTCCCCCCCCCCCCATAAGACTAATTAAGTGTATGACAAAAAAATCTATAGTCTGTATATTTTCCATACATTCCAATGAAAGTAGTTTCAGATAGGCTTTGAAACAAGTATAGTTTATCACCTCCAAGGCCACATGTAGGCACCAAAATTTCACGAGCTTTGGGCCCAAACCCAATGAAAGCCCTGCATGCCATGGTTGTTACATCACAGGCTGTTGGCCCCTACTGGTCTTGGGTCCAGTTTAATTGAACCTCTTCGTGCCACTGAACAAAGTATGCTTGAAAAAAAAACTTGTTCAAAATGTTTTAAATTGATGTTTGTTTTGTCCGGTAAAAAAAATAATTGCACAAAACTTCAACTTGATCCTAGATTGGGTGTGGTAGAAATCAAGTGTGCAAACATTTTAACCAGACAGACAGGCCGAAAGAATGGATATAAGCGTTGTAAAAAGAACGTTTATCCCGCGAAAAAGAGAAAGTCATGTTGCCAGGTTGGGCTGGACTTGATCTAGAACCCCCCCTGAGAGACAAAGAGAAAGTCATGTTGCCAGGTTGGGCTGGACTTGATCTAGAACCCCCCCTGAGAGACAAAGAGAAAGTCATGTTGCCAGGTTGGGCTGGACTTGATCTAGAGACCCCCCTGAGAGACAAAGAGAAAATCATGTTGCCAGGTTGGGCTGGACTTGATCTAGAACCCCCCTCCCCCCTGAGAGACAAAGAGAAAGTCATGTTGCCAGTTTGGGCTGGACTTGATCTAGACCCCCCCTGAGAGACAAAGAGAAAGTCATGTTGCCAGGTTGGGCTGGACTTGATCTAGACCCCCCCTGAGAGAAAAAAATTAATTTTACTATCAACGAAATGAAAACTACCTATGTTACATGAAGACTGCTTAGTTTCTTCATTGGGGACTTTATGATGCTAACTGTTGTAAAGGACATTACATACATTTCTTGTGAAGCCTCTGAAATTATTTTTTTTTGGTTTCCTTACCATGGCTTTCATCCTAGCGTCATAATCTTTGAAATAAACAGCTCAAGTCTGAGTTTGAAATGCGAATATTGAGGCTCACACAATTAGGAAGAACAAATTTTGAGTAAAATATCTTGGTGTACATATTCCATTGCATACTATATAGAAACTGAATGTATTATATGTCAGGCAAAATTCAATACATTTTAAACATCTCACTAAATGCGAAAATAACACAGTCAAAACAAAGGCTACTTACAATACCACCAGAAGAAATCGATGTTACTATATCATATACTATGTCGCTCAAACTGCTTTGGTCAGTTTCAAATACAGAAATTACTAAATAAATTTGGTCTGCTTAAACGTTGCATTCTAGTCAATCACTAAATAGGATACTATGTAGTTTAAATAAATAAAACATATACAAATATGTGATACCTGTCTTAAACTCTGAATAAAACTTGAGAAAAAATTCTTAAATTACAAAATGCCATTCACAGTATACAAAAAGAGCTTATCTGCATAGGCATTGAATGATAATAAAATAGCCTAACAAGAGGGCATAAATAAACAGACTAGATCTTAAGTCTGGGATGAATATGAACAATAATGACAGACCATATTATTTATGACACACACACATTACAAAGGTAAAAAAAAATAATTATCCCAAACATTACATCTACTATATAGTTCTCCTGGCCTTGGACTAACAAACAAGTCAAAAACATTAGTCAGTATGAAGCATTCCTGGTCTGGGATTATCTTTAAAGTCCCAAATACAACAGTCAATATGTAGCAATCATGACTTATAAGTGTCCCAATAATTACAATCAATGTTTAGCCCAGGACTGATCTGTAATATCACTTGGGGACTTACTTCTCTGATGGAATGTTGTAATATGATTACTAACAACAAACTTATGACAATGTAGAATGGGTTAATGATTTATTGGAATGTTGCATTAACTTGATGTATAAAATATTTAATTTTACAGAAGTTTATTAAGTTATAAATGGAATTATTATAAAATTGAAAATATCCATTGTTTAAAACACCATATGAAATGCTGATAAACTTATAGTGGAATGCTCAAATAAATTACAAACACAGACGTGAGCTCTAAAAAATGGAAATCAGTTCTGCTAAATAATTGACAGCTAAAATGTAGAAGACTATAAAAACTATAGAAACAATACATGTTAACAAATAAAAGTGGATTAAATGCAGGTTATAGTTATTAATAGAATCCAGAGAGTAAATGCAAACATAAAAATTGATAATGCAAAAAAACAACCAAAATATTTGGCATCAAATTGTAATTTAAGCCATTTCTTTTTTTCTTAATTTATTATTTGGCTCCCTTTTTTTTTTTTAACTGAATCAAATATTTGAATTGTAAGAAGTATTTGTACATACTGCTATGTGGACATATTTTTAACTTAAAATGTTACTAATTAAAAACTGAATGTCAGTGCTGATAACTTACTAAACACTACATAGACCTCTATGTGTTTATCTGTACATTTGACATTCACTCAGTATTACAAATCTTTAATACTTTGTATAAATATAAAAATATATTTGGTATAGAAAAAAATCTGGTCAAACAGTAATAATGCTTAAAGTAATTGTATTGTATCCTTAGAATAAGGGCAGAACATCACCTTTACTGGCTGTGGGGAAGTTGTGGGCAGTAGTGAGGAGTAGTTGTGACTCTTCAGGAAAATCTCCTACAAATGTGTTGTTGGTGTGCTCATACAGTATTAGTGTGTAGTTCAAATAAAATGTGTAAAAGCAACTGTGACACACTTATACCTGGAGACAGCTAAGTTCATACAACAGCAGGCAGTCTCAGTGATTGAACTTCAGATAGAAACATTTGATATGTTTACTTACTTTGATTGAGATACAGTAAATTATGTATATTGTGCAGACTTAAAATGTAATATTAAACATTGAGATAAAAAGTTTATAACAAAAATATGATGAAATGATGAAAAGTAAAATTTTACAGAGGCATTTTAAGTTTTGAAAATGTAGATTCAAAATGTTTTGCTTCTGTTATTAATACTTTCAGTATTACACAAGAGTCAGTATTGTTTAAAAGTCCCCATGTGTCAAACTAAAAGTCAACAAATTTAATTCATGTTGATTATTCGCTTAAAGATACTAATGGGAAAATGGTATTATTTTTTAATTTATACTTAGTGTTCAAGGATATTCCGTCTTGTTAATAGTATCTAAAACTTAAATACATAAATGTAATATTCAGGTTTTTTCTTCACGATCTAATAATAGTGCAGTACATTACATGGCTATGTAGACCCAGTAATGACCTACACACTCACAATATATTACGCCTACTTTATATAATGTTGAAGATTCAGTGGTGATATAAATGAAATGCAATGTTTACAATTAGGTTAAAATATAATGCTTTGATGACAATTTGGTAAACTATATGTCTTTATGGTCATATGTGCCCACATATAAGATGTGCTGACAGGAAAGTAACATTTTAATAAACTATTAGCATTTTTCACTAAATGCTTAAGTGGCGTCATTACTTAACAAGGCTACTTACACTAGGTCAAATTCTTATTAGGTTACACTCTAACTAGATTACACTCTAAGTAGGCTATTTTAAAGCATACACAAATATAAAGTTTGAAATAAATTAAATATAAAGTGACTCAATATTTGGTGTCAGCGATAACATTTAAACATTAAATAATTATTACAGTCAATCAATTGTAAAAGAAATTTGACAAATAAATAAAAAACAAAAATATGTAAAACAATACTTTGTAGTAATCTTAAAACATTCTACACAAGCAACAACATAGGATTGGATAAGAAGATAGAATTGCTAAGAAATTCAAACTATTTGTTCAAAATTCTATTAAATATTTACCAAAATTCAATTTAAAAATAAAATATTAATCTTCTAAAAATCAATAACCATTGCCAACTTCTACTGGATCATAAATTGTTTTATCCTTGTTATATTTTTGATCTATATTACATTGACCTAAAAAAAAATAATTCTAAATTGATCTTAAATAAATTCAATTTAAAAGAAAAGAAAATATAAAGTGTAAAGAACCAAGAAATTAGAAATCAATTAATTATAAAAGGGACCAACATCAACATGAAGGTGAATGATTTCAATGCCATGTTTCATACACAAAATGTGAATACTCTTTTCAAGTGATGAGGATACATAGGACTTCATGATGGACATATACTGCTACAATACATTATTGAGCGAGTGACCTTACTAGTCACAGTAACCTGTAGAGATACACACACATAGAGATGCACACATACACACACACACATTTCAAATCCTTACTGAAAGAAATGACTAAGTGGACCTGACACATAATGACTGACTTAGTGTCATTTATTAAAATGACTTAGTGATATATGACTATGAATATACACAGACAATGAATGACTAAATGTAATGAACAAAAATGACCAAGTGACTCATGGCCTACACAGCTAGACATGAAGTAAACAACCTAGTGACCTATGTACAGGTTGGACATGGCAACCTAGTGACCTATGTACAGGTCGGACGTTTCAGGTCTTTCAAACATTTGAAGTAGAGCCAAACTTCTTCCCTTTCTCTGTCATTGTCTCTGTCTCTGCTAACTCCTCTTCATTTGGATCCTCCTCGATCACACGAACCTGGAGGAGAAACAAAGGAGGGCTTTAGCCATTTATGATCAGCATTTGATTTGTCATTGTAAAGTCTCTACTTCAAAACACGTGCAGGCCCTTTCTTTACTGGAGTTCTTTGACCTTTCATTTCAAAACTATCATATTAACGATGATGAAATTTAGTAATAATTCATCAAGGTCAAGCAAATCTATGATTAAGTTTTAGTCTAAAATAAATTTTAGTATTAAAGTGGAAAACCTTTAAATAGCAAACCTTTTTTGGTGTATCCGGTGTACCAAACATAGGAAGTGTTGACAAAACTATATTTTTAAAAAGTTACATATTTATTGAAAATAACATTTTAACATTGCAAATTCAATTTTTTAATCTCTTTCTTTTGTAACTTTAATTTAGTTGGCAATTTGCAAGTTCAATTCAGCCTCCTTGACGTTGGCTTAGTTTGTGGTGAAAATATAGACTATTTTGAAACTCAAAGGGAGATAACTTATGTTAACTTATATTGACTATAATTAAAGCAGTTTTCCCCCTTGAATAAACAAAAATCAAATGAACCACAGAAAAGAGCTACACGCATTGTTGTCATCGTTTCGTTTATAAGTCAATGACGACATAGCCAGAAGCATTACGACAATCTTATGGGACATTAACAACGAACTGTACTATACATAGGAAGGGAGTGGAGTGGGAACGGAGTAAGGGCGAACTAAAAGTCTATGGTTTCTACAAAGTTTTAGTTCAAATTGATTTAGCCTTTTAGTCTTCTCTGGTGGCTGCAATGGAGCTGAAAATTTTCATTGATAAATAAAACAAAGATTAAGAGACTAAGTACAAACAGTTACTGTGCTGGGGGTGGGAAGGTTATATCTTCACAGTCTTTATTATACGCTACGCCCCTGCTCTTTACTTGTAGTTAGCTTTATACAGCTTCAGTCCCCCCTTTCACGTC